CTGCAGTGTGGTGGTTGAACGCAGTGTGGATTTGCCAACACAGGGAGTAGTTGACCAAGTCCTCAACATGGGTGGACGAATCAACGGGTGAATTTCATGGGAACAGTAGCCATAGTTGTGATAGAAAAGGAACCCCCGGTGAGCGAATGACTTGAGCGAATTAGTGAGTGCTGGATCATCAATTAATTATATCAAGTGCAGAGAGGTAGCATGTTCGGTGCCCTTGACTAAATATACTGCAGCAATAATTTGTGCTAGGTTGTAAATTAGTAATAACACTGTGTAACATTTTTTTTTGTTCCTGGGTAGTAAGTGTTATTTACTAATTGCTTGTGCCTCAAAAGTACAGAAAATGGCTATTATTCCCCACAAACTTTGCTTTTGTGACCAGGACAGTGATTTTTTATTTTATTTAAAGCTTTCGTGACTGCAGGGATTCATATTCTTGGTTCTTTCGGTAAAGTCACGCAGAAGGGAAACAATAAAATAATGAAAATATAAAACAATACAATTCTCACGACGTTTCGACTGCAACACAAGCAATCATCATCAGGTGTCTAAACCACAGCAAGAAAATTTGAAAAAAGTGATATTTTGAAATTTACCAATTTTCCAGAACATTCCAGATAGATTCAGTGCTTCGTAAACTTGGAGTAACTTCTAGAACATTCTAGAACTTTCCAGTAATATAAATAGTATAAATACAGGGGCCTTAAGCCCACCAGTTCAGTTTAGTTCCAGCTGCCTAAGTGGAAACATCTGCATTTTCTGAGATGGCATCAAGAGGCTGCAAGCATCCGGCAGACACATTTTTCTATGTGTGCGGCCAATTTATCAAGACAAGAGTGAAAAAGTACTCTGCAGAAGCATCTGCTAAGATGTGTGAGGCCTACAAGGCATATTTCGGCATGCCTGTCGGGGATCAAGACAAACCCTGGGCACCTTATTTCACCTGCGAGCAATGCAAGAAAAAACCTCTGGAAGATAAGATGCACAATTGTTGCTCGGAATTCTATGTTTTAAAATTTGTTTAAAAATGTTCAATTGTAAAAGTTTTTTTTTATTTAAAAATGTTTTACAATTTTCAATGTTATCGAAAAAATATATTTTAAAAAAGTGTTGCGAGAATCTCTTACACATTAGTCATGGATGAAATAAATGTATTTTTGTAGGATGGTACAGAGGGGAAAAGAGAGCCGTGAAGTTCGCTATCCCAAGAATTTGGCGGGAACCCACTGACCACTCAAACAACTGCTACTTCTGCATGGTGGAACCTTCCAAACGGCAGATTGGCAAGAATGCATCTGCTATCATGTATCCGGACCTTCCTTCATCCATTGCCCCGATGCCACACTGCCATGAGCTCCCCGTACCCACTCTTCCAGAGAGAGCAGCCATCTTAAGAAGAGAGCAGCAAGTCAGAGAGCGAGGAAGATGTTGTAGATCCAGATGACAATTTCAGAGGTGGAGCTGAGGAGAGAAACCCATACTACCCCAACCAAAAAGACCTAAACGACTTGATCAGAGATTTTGGTCTCACCAAGTCCAATGCTTTTGACGTCTAGGCTCAAACAGTGGAGCTTGTTGGATGAAAGTGTGCAAGTCGCAGGTCAGAGGAAGCGTCACAAACCTTTTTTCAGCTTCTTCACCCGTCAAGATGGGCTCTGCTTCTTCCACAATGTGACCAGTCTGTTCGAGGCAATCGGAATCGCCTGTAACCACAATGAGTGACGCCTCTTCATTGACAGCTCATCCAGGAGCCTCAAAGCCGTGCTGCTCCATAATGGTAACAAGTACCCGTCTCTTCCTCTGGCTCACTCTATGCACCTCAAAGAGGATTACAACAGCATCAATACCGTGCTGGGCGCCTTGAAGTATGATGAGTACAGCTGGGAGGTCATCGGAGACTTCAAAATGGTGGCATTCCTGTTGGGTCTCCAAGGCGGTTTTACCAAGTTTCCCTGCTATCTTTGTCTTTGAGACAGCAGGGATACCAAGGCGCACTACCACAGGCGGGACTGGCCACAGCAGACCGAGTTCTCTGTGGGGAAGAACAACGTCAAGTGGGAGCCACTGGTGGACCCCCGGAAAGTGCTGATGCCACCACTGCAAAACAAAAAATTGGGCCTTATGAAACAATTTGTCAGAGCTGTAGATAAGGAGTCGGCAGCCTTCAAGTACCTTCAAGACTTCTTCCCGAAGCTGTCTGAGGCAAAGGTCAAAGCCGGTGTCTTCGTCGGACCACAGATAAAGAGGAATCCTGGAGTGCAATGAATTCCCCAAGAAGCTCACTAGTAAGGAGAAAGCGGCTTGGAACAGCTTTGTCGCAGTGGTTCGTGGCTTCCTGGGCAATCACAAGGTCGAAAACTATGTGGAGCTGGTTGAGACTGGTGAAGAACTACGGCACAATGGGCTGTAGGATGTCTTTCAAAGTCCATATCCTTGATGCTCATCTTGATACATTCAAGGAGAACTGGGAGCGTACTCGGAGGAGCAAGGCGAGCGTTTCCACAAGGATATACTGGACTTTGAACGCCGCTACCAAGGACAGGATAACTAGAACATGATGGGAGACTACATTTGGGGGCTGATTCGTGAAAGTGATTTACAGTATAATCGTACATTTCGAAAAACTACTCACTTCTAAATCTTTTGTAGTAATTTTTGTATTACTTTAGTATAAATACATGTTACTTTTGATTCATATGTTGTTTTTTTCTAACTTTATGTGAACGAAAAGACACAAATTCGCCCGTTTTCTCATTGAAAATAGGTACATTTCAACATATTGCTGTCCTGGTCACAAAAGCAAAGTTTGTGGGGAATAATAGCTATTTTCTATATTTTTTAGGCATAATCAATTACAAAATAGCACTTACTACCCAGGAACAAAAATTGTGTTACATAGTGGAATTGTTCAGAGTGAAAAGGGCGTTGTGGCACGGAAAAGACAATCAAGCGTAATTTTTAATGTCTCCTTAGCCAAATGAGTTATACAGTGACAGCCATTCCATGACAGTTCAGATGCGAATGATGTGCCATGCAGATGAATGTGTTTTTTTATTGAAATAGTCCAAAAATAGTTCGTAAAAGGCAACGCAAAACAAAAAACATCGCGAGCTTTGCTCATTAGTTTCTTTGCATTCCCATTAGATAATATTGCTGCTCAAAATGTGTACATGATGAGCCACTTTGTTGAGCTATCATCTGTAGCCCGGTCGCTTCTAAAAAAATAAGTTAATAGCTCAGTGGGCTTTACCTGGTAAGATAACAAAAACATAGCTTCGTTCTACTTGTATATATTTAAGTGATTTGTTTAACTTTCCTATACTTTGCACTCCTATCGTGTTTTTGCATTGTTGTAAAACGTTCTGGCCAGCCCCCTACTGGACATCTGTGAAAAAGAGCTTCATGGCTCATCGGATTCCTCCAGTATGAATAAATATTCCGATTCTGAACGGCCAATTCGTATTGCAGCGCCATGTTCATAGTTCATTTATTTGGTATAGCCCTGTCAGCCATTCGGCTCTTGAATCGGGTGCAACCGCAACAAACAAAAAACATGAACAAGAAAACGTCTTAAAGTGATTATGTGACTGTGCAAACAGAAAATACAGGAAAAAAATATCAAAATATTCCTGAAATAGCACCGTACACCAACGCTGTGCGCAAAAATCCCAGTGGGATGCAAGTCAAAATAACAACAACCACAAGACAACTAAGATTAAGGCCATCAGTCAACTCCGTACTACAATAAACAAAAACATGGCCAAAACAAAAAAAAACTTTTCGAAATCACCAAAATAAAAGCCATAAATCCAATGTAACAGTGATCATAGGGACTGTGACCGAATTTTTTACAATAAACTACATAAATTAATTATAACACCAAAATCTAGAGCCATATTTTAGGCCACTGAATAGCAGTGGCAGCTAGGGTTGTACAACTCCTCTAGAGCAGTTTTGAGTGAAGATCTCATTGGTAGTGATTCAAGTTGCATGTTGGTGAGATGTTAACTACCTCGCCTGGTGTGCAGGTCGTGGGTTTTTATCCCGACCCTCAAGCCTGCTGCTGTTGCTGCTGTATATTTGGAGTTTGCGTGTCTCTCTGTCATCATCATCATCATCACGGCGGCTTGGAGATGTTAACTTCCTCGCCTGGTACACAGGAGGTCGTGGGTTTGTATCCCCACCCTGACGCCTGCTGCTGCTGTATATTTGGAGTTTGCGTGTCTCTCTCTCCCATCATCATCATCACGGTGGCTAGGAGATGTTAACTTCCTCGCCTGGTGTGCAGGAGGTCGTGGGTGTGTATCCCCACCCTGACGCCTGCTGCTGCTGTATATTTGGAGTTTGCGTGTCTCTCTCTCCCATCATCATCACGGTGGCTAGGAGATGTTAACTTCCTCGCCTGGTGTGCAGGAGGTCGTGGGTTTGTATCCCCACCCTGACGCCTGCTGCTGCTGCTGTATATTTGGAGTTTGCGTGTCTCTCTCTCTGTCATCATCATCACGGTGGCTAGGAGATGTTAACTACCTCGCCTGGTGTGCAGGAGGTCGTGGGTTTTTATCCCCACCCTGACGCCTGCTGCTGTTGCTGCTGTATATTTGGAGTTTGCGTGTCTCTCTCCCCCGTGGTCGTGTGGATTTTTCTCGGGGCCCCTCCGGTTTTTTTTTCACCTCCACATTGAGAATCACGCTGCATTCGCGTGTCCACGCGATAAGCCACTTCGTTTGAGCTATCATTTGTGTGGCCAAGTCGCTTTTTTATTTAAATAGAGCTATATAGCTCAGTGGGGCCTTACCCTGGTAAAATAAAAGATGTACAGTTTAAGATTTTATCGTACAGTCGCAGGGATTTTATTGAACGCTGGCGTCTCGGTTGCCACGGCAACGGCACCCGGACGTTCGCGCATCGCTTTTTGGAATCCGTAGCGCGGATTGGCGCAGCGCGCGTGGTCACGTGACTCGCGAGCGAGGGAACCCCTCCCCTACCCCCATGCGAACTACGATTTCCAAACGCTCGCTCTGCAACGCTCAATGGGAAGTGGTGGCGCAGCTTAAGCCGCCGCCCAGGCTCGTGGTGGGCCTACTTCGACTTAGTTCATTTCCCCCTCACACGCTCGGTGGTTTTTCTTTGTTAGTTTGTAAAGCGAGTTGTTGCATTACCCCACCCCCCCCACCCCGTTGTTGTCTTGACGTGAGGCAAACATGACGGGGCGCGCATGGCCGATGATCGTCGACGAGGCGCGATCCCCGCAGACCCTGCTTACTGCGTGAGTTGTTTTCTGCGTATTCCGTTTTTTTCCCCCCCTTTCAATATACACTTGCCTCTCGTCGTGCATTGTGGTTTTTATCGCCGCATCGTCGAACGATGTTAGCGTCAAGCGAATAATAAATAAACGACCGTGGGTGTTTTACCTGCCCCAAGGGGGTCATTTTCTCGGGCTGTGTGTGTGCGTGCGTGCGCGCGTGTGTGCCTCCCGTTGTTTGGGTTCGAGATTATTGCCACTGTCGACGATGTTTGTAATGTTGGAGGTAGAGAAAGAGCTCGGTGAAGGCGCAGCTCCTAAGCAATCGCACGCTCACGAGACGATGGATGTGTACGCACGCACGCACGCCTACGCAACACGGGGCAGTCTTTGAAAACCCCCAAAAATGGTCATCCTTCAAGACTCATTGAATCCCTTCAATGCCACAATGTCATAGCTCGGTGAGCATCTACACAAACCCACACGTACGTGGGGAGAACATGGCACGGAGATTAACACCACCGACTTGCTTTACTGCCTCTAACATTCATCTTTAGGGGTTTCAAATGGATACAGGTGCAGCCCTGCAATTGCTTGATCATACCATTCCAGCTGGAAAGGCATCTATCAGAATCCTTCTGGAGGGTATTTTTTTGCTTAGTCTTCCACGCTGGTCAGACGTTTTTGAAGAGGTGGGAGCACCCACACTTTACTCCACCACGTTCGACCTGCGAATCCACTAAATATGGGGTATCCATTTATGCTGCTGAGAAGGACAGGGAGGGATTTAGGACAATTTCCCATTTGTGATGTGGCTGTGATACAGTGTTTATGTTCGATAACAAAAAAAACAGTTCGTATTATTGTAATGGAAAAGAAAACAGCCCTTGAATGCAGTTGTGCGCGGAATAGGCTACATTTTTTTTTATTTAGGATAGGGTAAGCAACTTGGAAGTTTGTAAAAGAAAGTGGCAGGAAAGTGCTGTCGGTATGATCAGAAGATAAGGCTGTGATGGGTGGGACAAGCGTACGGTATGTCGAAGGGCAGGTTACTGAGAACCCCAGAGGTTGGCATTCCTAAACGAAAGACCAAAAGCAAGATATGTGGGTAGGATATTGTCAGAGCGGATAATGGGAGGTCTGCAGTGCACTTTGCAACAGTTACAGTGAGGGAAAAAAGTATTTGATCCCCTGCTGATTTTGTATGTTTGCCCACTGACAAAGAAATGATCAGTCTATAATTTTAATGTTAGGTTTATTTGAACAGTGAGAGACAGAATAACAACAAAAAAATCCAGAAAAACGCATGTCAAAAATGTTATAAATTGATTTGCATTTTAATGAAGGAAATAAGTATTTGACCCCTCTGCAAAACATGACTTAGTACTTGGTGGCAAAACCCTTGTTGGCAATCAGAGGTCAGACGTTTCTTCTAGTTGGTCACCAGGTTTGCACACATCTCAGGAGGGATTTTGTCCCACTCTTTGCAGATCTTCTCCAAGTCATTAAGGTTTCGAGGCTGACGTTTGGCAATTCGAACCTTCAGCTCCCTCCACATATTTTCTATGGGATTAAGGTCTGGAGACTGGCTAGGCCACTCCAGGACCTTAATGTGCTTCTTCTTGAGCCACTCCTTTGTTGCCTTAGCCGTGTGTTTTGGGTCATTGTCATGCTGGAATACCCATCCACGACCCATTTTCAATGCCCTGGTTGAGGGAAGGAGGTTCTCACCCAAGATTTGACGGTACATGGCCCCGTCCATCGTCCCTTTGATGCGGTGAAGTTGTCCTGTCCCCTTAGCAGAAAAACACCCCCAAAGCATAATGTTTTCACCTCCATGTTTGACGGTGGGGATGGTGTTCTTGGGGTCATAGGCAGCATTCCTCCTCCTCCAAACACGGCGAGTTGAGTTGATGCCAAAGAGCTCCATTTTGGTTTCATCTGACCACAACACTTTCACCCAGTTGTCCTCTGAATCATTCAGATGTTCATTGGTAAACTTCAGACGGGCATGTATATGTGCTTTCTTGAGCAGGGGGACCTTGCGGGCGCTGCAGGATTTCAGTCCTTCACGCCATAGTGTGTTACTAATTGTTTTCTTGGTGACTATGGTCCCAGCTGCTTTGAGATCATTGACAAGATCCTCCCGTGTAGTTCTGGGCTGATTACTCACCGTTCTCATGATCATTGCAACTCCACGAGGTGAGATCTTGCATGGAGCCCCAGGCCGAGGGAGATTGATAGTTATTTTGTGTTTCTTCCATTTGCGAATAATCACACCAACTGTTGCCACCTTCTCACCAAGCTGCTTGGCAATGGTCTTGTAGTACTCAATGTTTTTTTCGGTAAAGTCACGTATGTAGAAATACAATAAAATTATATTAAAACAAAAAACAATCACGACGTTTCGATCACAATGCAAGCGATCTTCATCAGGTGTCAAGAACAAATCACGGAGTTAAATACAACAAAAAGATGAGAGACGAGAATTCAACAAACCTGAAAAAACATTATGTGAAGCACATCCAGTCAGGCCAACAACACAGACACTTCCTGGCGGACCACGAATTTCAGAAGAGTGTTAAATTCCGTGTTCAACCTTTGGATTGCACATACCAGCATAGAATTAAAAATACGAGGTACACGGTCGGTAGAAATACATATACAAGACCGTGTACCTCGTATTTTTCATTCTATCTATGCTGGTATGTGCAATCCAAAGGTTGAACACGAAATTTAAACACTCTTCTGAAATTCGTGGTCCGCCAGGAAGTGTATAACTGTGTTGTTGGCCTGACTGGATGTGCTTCACATAATGTTTTTTCAGGTTTGTTGACTTCTCGTCTCTCATCTTTTTGTTGTATTTACCTCCGTGATTTGTTCTTGACACCTGATGAAGATCGCTTGCGTTGTGATCAAAACGTCGTGATTGTTTTTTGTTTTAATATAATTTTATTGTATTTCTACATACGTGACTTTACCGGAAAAACCAATGAGTAATTTTATGCAGTCACGAAAGCTTTAATACTTTAATGGTCTTGTAGCCCATTCCAGCCTTGTGTAGGTCTACAATCTTGTCCCTGACATCCTTGGAGAGCTCTTTGGTCTTGGCCATGGTGGAGAGTTTGGAATCTGATTGATTGCTTCTGTGGACAGGTGTCTTTTATACAGGTAACAAGCTGAGATTAGGAGCACTCCCTTTAAGAGTGTGATCCTAATCTCAGCTCGTTACTTGTATAAAAGACACCTGGGAGCCAGAAATCTTTCTGATTTAGAGGGGGTCAAATACTTATTTCCCTCATTAAAATGCAAATCAATTTATAAAATTTTTGTTGTTATTCTGTCTCTCACTGTTCAAATAAACCTACCATTAAAATTATAGACTGATCATTTCTTTGTCAGTGGGCAAACGTACAAAATCAGCAGGGGATCAAATACTTTTTTCCCTCACTGTATAGGATTTAGCAGAAGGAAGGAAGCGATAGCGAAATGTGGTGGGAGGATCGGCATTGGCCATGATGACATTGCCATTAATGTTGTCATTTATAATAGACAAGGAGTCAAAGTTTGGCCCTCCTTAGATAACCATAATATGCTGCTAATCTATAGAGTGCTGAGCAAGTGGTGAATAATTGTGGTGAAATCATGTCTGACTCCACGTGTATTTTGATATTTCATGCAATCTCATTGTAGCTGTACCATTCATGTAAATTATTTTAATTATTTCTAAATATTTTTTTTAGGCTGTGTTTGTGAGAACTTGGATGACTGCATCACTTCCAGTAAGTTGCCTTTTCATAGTCTACAAAGGCTAGGCATAATGGTATTTGATATTTAAACATTTTCAGTATGTTATTCATAGTGTGTGTGCTCAATGAGAGAGAATCCTTTCTTAAAACCAGCTCGCTCAAACAGTTGGTTGGCATCTAAGTTTTGCATGATTGTGTTTGCAATGATCCCCTTGAACACTTTATATGTCTGTATGCACAAAGAGGAATAATGAGCCTGTAATTCTCCAAGTAATTTTGATCACAATTATGGTATTTTCTATGTAGAAAATTAGTAAATACTGAAGTCACAATTTTTCATACTCAAAATCTGTTCCCACTTTTTCGATGTGCCACATAGTCCATCCGGTCAAGGAGCTTTCCCAGTTTTCTTTCTACAAAGGGCACTATTTACTTACTTGCATGACCTCTGCAACTTACTCTTGTGAAAACAAATCCTGGGATATATTTTTACTATTATAATTTTCAATAACAAAAAATACTGAATTCGTTTTAATATTGTGTGGCATACACATAATGGTTCAATCATGATCTCTTAAGACTGCTATTTTTTAATTACCAATCACCAACTTCCTTTTTTTTCTGTCATGCTCACATTACCGGTACTTGTTTCCAAAAATATGGGTTTTCCTCCTGAATGATGGCAGCTGTATTTGACCGTTGTTACATAAAACACGCATATTTTGGCAAATAAAATATTGTAGAAATGGAGACAGAACTAAGAGAAGTAAATTGGGACATATTTGAACTCGGTGAGATGAGGACAGCAGAGAATACCATACATTTTAATAGTGAAACGGGTTTTCTTTTTTTATCAGAGGAATAACTGAGGAGTGGGAAATCAAGCATAGAGTTTTAGAATTCAATAATATTCACAGATAGATTTGCACAGCTAACAATAAGGATCTTGAATCACTGCAAGTTAAATATTATTTAAATATAAGCACCAACATGACTAAATCTATGATAAATCTATCATAGCCATGACTAAATATATGAAGAACTTAAGATACTTATAAATAATGACAAAGTAAACTATATCATCATAATGTGTGACTTCAGTGTAAGTAAAAGATCCACATTTGAGCTGAAGCTGAGTAAAGGTGGCATATGGGGATAAATGGGAGATAGGAGAACATCTTAATACTGTAGTTTCCAGCCAGCATGAAAATTAAGATAACTGTAATGAACGCCTTTTTTCAAAAATGAGTCGTGAATAAAATTGACATGGAGGAGCCCAAATAGAGAAATTGAAATGAAATTTACTTGATTCTCATGCACACAAAAAAACTCAACATGATTCTCTTGGACAACCTCCAGATTGTCAGGGTGGTCTTTGTACCCAGTAAATTCAACACATGAAGTGATCACAGCCTGTCACAATGAAAATTGTGCTTCAACATTGCCACACAGAAAAAAATATACTAATTACGGGCAAAAACAAACAGTTAACATTTAAATCTAATTCAATGTCATGCGGCTGGTTGTATTTATAATATATTGTGTAATATATAGTACAGTGTAGTAAGCGTTAGTGGCGCCTTCTATTGGCTTTGACATAATTCTTCACGGGACACTAATTACTTGGTTCACTGATGATGAGAATTGTATATTTGTAAGTGTTAAACGTGAGACTTAAAGCAATTAAGAACGTTAGGCAGACCCTTTGCCATGCGTAAAACTAGTCCACCTCTCTGCCATAATTTTGGGACCCAAATAAAAAAAGAGATATATTACAGATTGTCTTGTTATAAGGATAGACTTGACTGTTGGTTGCATATAAGCTTTCTAACTCTTCCAGAACATAATTTAAATCCGGTGCTATAATTTGCAATCGGAAATTGCTTGTCCACGATCATTTGTATTTATTTTAATAGACATGTTTTTTTTATATATACTAGTGTTTCTCAGATAGGATATTTAACATGGTGGCAATGGTTAGAGCACCCAATTCACATTGGCAAGATCGTGAGTTTAAATCCCATTAAGGAGTTTATCCAGTCCATCATCTGTCAAAAGTTGATCAATCAGTTACACTGAAGATAAAATAGCGATTACATCATGGGACCTCTTTTGCCAGTACCAAAATATGAGAATAGGTTTTTTCCCCTTTTTTCTGGAAACAAAAAAAAACACCTTTTACAAGGAATCATGTCTGCATTAACCGCAATACTTGTGGTCAGAATGCAAATAAAAACATCCTCTGATAATATATGCATTGTCTTTGAAACTGATTGGTCCACACCAGAGACAGCTTTCTTTTGAGCCTCTTCTCAAACATGTGTTAGGGCTTTTGGCGTCCTCTGGTCTAACACCGTTTGAGATGAGGATCAAAAGAAAGCTGTCTCTGGTGTGGACCAATCAGTTTCAAAGACAATTCATATATTATCAGAGTGTTTTTGTTTGCATACTGACCACAAGTATTGTGGTTAATGCAGATATGATTCCTTGTACAAGGTGTTTTTTTGTTGCCAGAAAAAAGGGGAAAAAACTATTTTCAAGAAAACGATTGTTCTATCGATAGATTGATAGAAATATTCGGTTCAGTTCAGTATTATTTGGTGATGCAGGTGAATAATATTCAGTCATAGCCTGCTTTGTAAGAGAGACCCACTAAGTGCCTTATACGAGATATCAGATCGTTATCATACATAACAAATAACATAAGATACAGAATAACAATCATTTTCAAATTATGCAACGCAATGTAAGCGCTTCAACATTCAAAGGTGTACAATCAAGGGCAAATGTGGAATGTATAACACTATCTCAGCACCACAAAGGAGACGAGTTCAGCTTGACTTGGACATATATATGTTCCAATATGTAAGATTTCATTAAGATTTTTGACGTTTTGGTAAGAAAGACCTGGCAATCCAGAGCTGTAAAGTTAATGCATGCATGTATTTGGGTACAGCAATGTTTATACATACACAATAGCATACTCATTCAGCACCTTGCACATGAAGTAATAAATTGTGTTTTTGTGAATATGGAAACATGAATTGTAGTGGTTATAGGACAAATATACAGGTATACCTCGTATAGCTCTCGGGATGCATTCTTAGTAAATGGAGGGCTATAAGAAACAGCGCTATTGGACAACATTATAACATGGTTACAATGGAGATGCATTACCGACCGCTATTTTTTTACCTGTATATGAGCTTCATTGAGGTATCAGTAATAGCCTTAATAATGATAGTGTAGACATGATAAATGTATTAAAGCATTTCATAAATTAAATAACGTTTAATGATTACATTAAAAAAATTACAATAGGTTCTGTACTCACCACAGTGCATTCGGTGAGAGCTTGCATCGGATAAACCACCGTCTTCTATAAACACATTCCCTGGGAAGCTATAAAGTCCTAACCAATGGGATTACTCGATCCATGGATCACCAATGATCGATGCAGCGATTAACCCCTCAATGAATCGATAATCACCGATTCAGGTTCCATAAGACCATATATGGGCAATGACACGCCCTTAGGGGCAACGCCATGCCTACTTCCACATATGGGCTGATCCTCGAAGGATTTTCCCTCGAGGACAAAGGGCGTTATAACGAAACATAGCTTTAAGAGGAATCGCTATAAGATGTATGCCTGTATACACCAGAACACATTGGACTTATGCCATTTGTACATAGAATAATTACCTTTAAAATAAGTTCACCTTTGCTGATGTGACTTTTTATTTTGTCATCAAAACTTTTTTGATTTCCCCTTAGTATCATCGTAAATATGCCAATTATTTCCTTTCGGCAGTTTGATATACACGAAGTGATAAAGTGTTAACTACAATGTCTTGCACTCCATCTAATGGCACTGTTGATTAATTAATGTTCTGGGACTAATTGGCCTTTGGAGGAATGTAGCTGGAAGCATAATGCAAGTGATGCTTCGTAATTTTGTACTCCGTGAAGCTCATGCAAATTCGGATGTGGTTAAACATCAAACCATGGCTTGAGCTTAAATCCTAGTTGCCATTCACCCTCATTACATTTTTATAGATGTACTATTTTAGATTTTACAGGCATGCACTAATATGTGCTGACATTTTTTTGTTTAATGCTCAACATAAGATTTGTGATTGAGTGTAATTACACATACAATCGAACTTTCTTTTTAACAAAGCTTTGAAAATTCCATATAAATATTAGCCAAGTGGTCTTGTGAATACATGTTTTTATTACAACTGTCAAATATTAAATAAGTATTAAAATTCAGTTTGCAATACCTTTTATACATTATCACTTTGTATTTTTTCACGCTAGTGCATACAAAATATATAATATGAAGCGTACATCTTTTATTTAGTTTTTTTTTAATGTCCTGTCCATAAATAATGTTAGAAAAACTAGAATTGCTCTTTATTTGAATGCAATTTTCGTTGTTGCCCTGGGTATCCATAACTCATTGTTATAGCTCCAGGCGACATTGCTAAAATAGTGTGACTAGAATAAACTGCATAAATCTACATGGTTTACTTTAAACGGTGCATTATGGGAGGTACCAGTGAAAGGCGTTCCATGATGTACAATATTCGGCATATATGTTGAACTTCTTTCACACCGTATGCAGTCAACTGTGCTAATCGGAGGTGCGGTGGAAGGACAACAAACTCAACAAAAAATATGGCGAGATGCAGCAAGCCGTGAAGACATTCGTACATACTGACCTCGACGTTGTTTCACAGGAGTTTGCAGATTGTGGCGCGTGCATTCCCACGCTATTCCGGGGAGGTGGAGCAGTTGCCGCACAACCTTAAAACCAAACTCCTCTACCTGCTGGTCAAGCAAGGAGAGATCACTGACCAGAACATCGGCAAGGTGTGTTTTCTGATCATTAACCACATTTTTTGTTACATTTTAGTAAGAGCAGTATTGCGACTTTGAGAATATACAACGTCTTAACATTTCCAATGCATCATTAAATAGGGTTAAAGTGAATTTGTCTTTTTCTTATTTGATTTAAGTTACATTACATTCTGGGTTCTTTCGGTAAAGTCACGTAGAAGGGAAACAAAATAATAAAAATTTAAAACAATAAAATTATCGCGACGTTTCGACTGCAACACAAGCAATCATCATCAGTTGTGAAAACCACAGCAAGAAAATTTGATAATTTACATAAAATCCGTGTTCTGGTTCCGTCTGTAAAAGATGCCTCTGTGGTAGTAGTTACACTGGAGAAACCAAAAGACATGTCTCGGACCGCATTCGTGAACACAAAGCAGACCTAAAACACGGTAGGACCAACACCTCGGCCGTGGCAGATCACTGTTATAATTCATTAGGCTCACATGACATTGACTTCTCCAAGACAGAGGTTCTTTGCAAGCCATCTGGCTACCATGAGAGATTCGTTCATGAGGCTATCCATATATACAAACACAGACAATTTCAAACGAGAAGATTGATTCTGGCTTAGCAATCATTGGAAGGATTTGATAAACCATTTCGGGTCTTAATTGATTGTTCCCGCTTACGGTGGCTTTCAGACCGCATCCATTATTTTTCGTCTCCCCCCTCCTCTTTTCCGAACATAGATGGACTCGTCCATCTGAACAAATTGTCAAATTGCTCTCCGTGGTGCTATCGTTAAAAAAAACCTACCACTTTTTTCAAAAAATTTTGCTGTGGTTTTCACACCTGATGATGATTGCTTGTGTTGCAGTCGAAACGTCGTGATAATTTTATTGTTTTATATTTTTATTATTTTATTGTTTCCCTTCTACATGATTTTACTGAAAGAACCAAGAATATGAATCCCTGCAGTCACAAAAGCTTTAAATAAAAATTTAAGTTACATTGTTTTTTCTCCCACATACCCATTAGCCCACAGTGCAGTAGTATGTCATCTATGAACTTGCGCAGTTGACACAATTTACACCTCAAATGAAGGGAGATAGAGAGAATGTCTTGTTTTATGCTAAGGTTTTTTCTCAAGTGAACAGCAGGCAGAATGGTTGGGCAGTTGAGTTACAGTCCTTAACTGCTCCACTATGCTAAGTTGAGAATTTTTAGTTGAGAATGAGAGAATTGGTTCAGCTGTTATTTGTTGAATGACACCAATTGCTTAAGGGAAACAAATGCTGTATTGCACAAGTAGGTTTGTGTAATTTCACATATAAGTCATGGAGGGGTTTTTCCAATAAATTACAAAGACCATGACTGTTTACACGGCTGTGGTTGTTATTCAATGTGACAAGCAGAAACGTAAATCTGAGCTGCACACGTTTGAATTTAGATCTGCATGTGCAACAAATAGAGCAACCATAACCGTATTATATAGCAGAACATCATTTGTGCGAAAAATATCCCTTTGACTGCTGCATATCTGTGATGTAATGCTATACTGGAGATTTTCATAAACATTCACCAAACAATGTTGAGGCTCTTACCAACGATGCAGAGATTTGAATACTGCACACTGGCAAAAGAATGTTTGTGAATATTAGCAAGCATGAACAACAAAAAACAAAATTGTGGGCAGCCGGGCAATGCTGGCATGTTGCCATTACACACTTAACATTTGAGCACACAGACACTGAAGTATCTTAGAGGATGTTAACATTTTAATTGAATTAAGTCCTTTCTGACAGTAGGCATAATGTAACATCATTGCTGACAGTACATATCAAATCATTTAAGAATGAACTACAGTGAGGGGAAAAAAGTATTTAATCCCCTGCTGATTTTGTACGTTTGCCCACTGACACCTAATGGTAGGTTTATTTGAACAGTGAGAGACAGAATAACAACAACAAAATCCAGAAAAACACATGTCAAAAATGTTATAAATTGATTTGCATTTTAATGAGGGAAATAAGTATTTGACCCCCTCTCAATCAGAAAGATTTCTGGCTCCCAGGTGTCTTTTATACCGGTAACGAGCTGAGATTAGGAGCACACTCTTAAAGGGAGTGCTCCTAATCTCAGCTTGTTACCTGTATTAAAGACACCTGTCCACAGAAGCAATCAATCAATCAGATTCCAAACTCTCCACCATGGCCAAGACCAAAGAGCTCTCCAAGGATGTCAGGGACAAGATTGTAGGCCTACACAAGGCTGGAATGGGCTACAAGACCATTGCCAAGCAGCTTGGTGAGAAGGTGACAACAGTTGGTGCGATTATTCGCAAATGGAAGAAACACAAAAGAACTATCAATCTCCCTCGGCCTGGGGCTCCATGCAAGATCTCACCTCGTGGAGTTGCAATGATCATGAGAACGGTGAGGAATCAGCCCAGAACTACACGGGAGAATCTTGTCAATGATCTCAAGGTAGCTGGGACCATAGTCACCAAGAAAACAATTGGTACCACACTACGCCGTGAAGGACTGAAATCCTGCAGCCCCCGCAAGGTCCCCCTGCTCAAGAAAGCACGTATACATGCCCGTCTGAATTTTTCCAATGAACATCTGAATGATTCAGAGGACAACTGGGTGAAGGTGTTCTGGTCAGATGAGACCAAAGTGGAGCTTTTTGGCATCAACTCAACTCGCCGTGTTTGGAGGAGGAGGAATGCTGCCTATGACCCCAAGAACACCATCCCCACCGTCAAATATGGAGGTGGAAACATTATGCTTTGGGGGTGTTTTTCTGCTAAGGGGACAGGACAACTTCACCGCATCAAAGGGACGATGGACCGTCAAATCTTGGGTGAGAACCTCCTTCCCTCAGCCAGGGCATTGAAAATGGGTCGTGGATGGGTATTCCAGCATGACAATGACCAAAAACACGGCCAAGGCAACAAAGGAGTGGCTCAAGAAGAAGCACATTCAGGTCCTGGAGTGGCCTAGCCAGTCTCCAGACCTTGATCCTCGAAACCTTAATGACTTGGAGAAGATCTGCAAAGAGGAGTGGGACAAAATCCCTCCTGAGATATGTGCAAACCTGGTGGCCAACTACAAGAAACGTCTGACCTCTGTGATTGCCAACAAGGGTTTTGCCACCAAGTACTAAGTCATGTTTTGCAGAGGGGTCAAATACTTATTTCCTTCATTAAAATGCAAATCAATTTATAACATTTTTGACATGCGTTTTTCTGGATTTTTTGTTGTTGTTATTCTGTCTCTCACTGCTCAAATAAACCTACCATTAAATTTATAGACTGATCATTTCTTTGTCAGTGGGCAAACGTACAAAATCAGCAGGGGATCAAATACTTTTTCCCTCACTGTACATCAATATACCATTGGAGGGAAATGGCTCTGACGAAGTGCAGATATGCAGATTATATTAATTATGCAGCATCCAAGAAGACACCAATTACTGGTGATGGTGATGTGGTACAGTATGAGTATGCGTAGACTCTAACGACTCACTGATATGCCGAAATTGTTGACTGCATGTAGAAACACTTGTTTTTGATACTAAGTCTATTGCTACTTTATATGATTCTAGATCAGGGGTGGGGAATGTCCGGTCTGCGGGCCGTATAAGGCCCGCAAAATCATTTGATCTGGCCCTGCCAAGGCAACCGCAGGCAGGACTCGAAATTCAATCAATCTAGGAGCAAACCTGCAAAAGCAGTTGCGAGTAGCAACATCATCAATACCAGCTAACATCACACGCCTCACCAAAGAGAAGCAGTTCCAGCCATCACATTAGGGGTGAGTTAATTAAATGTTTGACCAAATATAACAGGCTAATTTTTAAGTTGCTAATTTTGTATGGCCCGCGAATGATGTTACAAATATCCAAATGGCCCTTGGCAGAAAAAAGGTTCCCCACCCTTGTTTTAAATGCAGCTTGAAAGTTATAATAATACAGTGTGCCTAAATTTGGAAAACGATGCTAATAATTATGCTTTGACCAAATCACCTGGAATGTGCCTGATCCCATCAGACCTCGAAGCTAAGCAGCTTTCAGCCTGGATAGTGCTTGGATGTGCAAGGACCATGTACAAAAATAGATTTCTACTGGGCATTGTGGTGTACTGTAGCCATGTACCCTTCATGGTCTGCAAGACATAGTAGGGTGGCACTCATTCAGCAGTGGACTGACAAATCAACAGGTCGTTCATGTACACACTTCATTTCAGCAACATCTCAAGTATAAATGAACAACAATAACTTGATGATCTCGTCAAGGAACATAAACCATCGCACAAACTGGTCATCCTCGCAGTGGCTATTGGCTAGCAATTGAATAAATACGGTCACTGCATCGTGCACGTTTGTATGTACTTCTCTGGCCATCTGGAATGCTGTGCCTTCCGATATTAGGGAGACACTGGAGAATATGCACTTTTAAATATAGATTGAAAACTAATTTCTTTAAAAGTTATTTTTGTTTTTAGTTTGTTGTCCTTCCTCCACACCTGATGTGGACGCTTGGCTACATATGGTGCGAAAGAAGTTCAACATATATGAAAGTCTAATGACTTCTATCTAATGAATCTTCGTGATATTTTGCCTGCAGAATGCAAAACACTGAACATATGTTTGTCTATTTTATTTTACAAACAGTGTGATTGCAGGCAGTAGATTGTGCCTTTAAGTATGTTCCATGCAGACGGCATGTAAAGGGTGTGAATGAAACCTGTGCCTTGACCATATCTATCGGTGGGGTCTGTTGTGGCAGTTTGTGAACCCTCAGGTGAAAAAGTTGAACTTCTCTCGGTGCAGAATCACGGATGAGTGCCTGAGGCAGCTGACTTCATGCAAGCTCCTTCTCGTATTAATACTCAACAACACCAATGTCACATCCGAAGGTATGTAGATTGCACAACATTCACAAAATATTATTGAATTAAAATAGGCAGATGCTTGATATATATAGTATATTCGAGTTTAGTAGCTTAAAATATTTTTCACATTGTACATGTGCAAAAGTTTGTGAATGTTCCGTGTAGAATAAGGATACAATAATGTAATTCCATTGATAGCACAAAAAAAGACCAAACCCATGTTATTGTACACTAGCACTGCATTTACACTGGATACATTGCTGGGGTGGAGGGTGATGTCAGCACGCACGAACCCAGATCAACTCAACTGGATGTGGGTGATGTCGCCAGACAAATGTGCATGGCAATGTCGCCACTGCGCATGTGCACTTTCCGCCCGCACGCCAGCCAGCCATTCAGGAAAGCAGCCAGCAAAACTTTACACACATAGACAATATTGTGCATTCATATTTTAAAAATTTTGATTGATAAGAACAAGGAATAAACCACAATCCATTAGTGATTGATACTGGCCTTAAACCCTTAACTGCAAATGTGTCGGTGTCGGTAAGGTATTTTATTATCGAAGCATCCAGTAAAAAATTCCAGCAGCATTTATCAAATAGTTTATTCAATGAAAAGTATGCAGGAAATGTCACACTACATTTTGCTTATTACGTATCCGATAATGAACTTGATTTGCAGTAAAATACACGCATAATGAAGTAATTTGTACCGGGGGGGAAAAATTGCCTGGCTGTGATTGATATTGGTGAAAAAGTATAATAACAATTCAGTCACTCGCAAAGACTTCTCATTGGAAAATGCAATGAAATTCAGATAAAATGCCATGTTGTACAGAGCTTAAATCAATAGGGCAAGTCCCAGTGCTTGTCCATTGCATGACTACTTGCAGAATTCTCTGTGCGTAGCCCTGATGAATTGCTGATTATCATTAATTTCTGATGAAATGTCAATGCCTTATTCCATGCAACCGATGTTTTAAGAATAAGCATGGGTATACCGCAGAATCAAAGGGCAGTGCAACAATGGGCCAATAAATAAATGAAAAGCGCGTTCATTGTGTATGCGCATAACAGAGGAGCACTCATGCTGCCTAGTCTACCATCACAGAGGTGAGCTGGTTAATCAAAGCCCACTCGACACGACTTAACATTTGTTTAAACCAAAAAGATGCCTTAGCAGAACATGAATAAAATTTGCATTTTGAGTAGCCAGAAACAATACGCTTGCATAAAGCCACTTGCTTTTAGCCTATTGTCATGTGTTCCGTCATGTGGCATTGTAATCTGTTTGTGGTCCTTAGTTCTAAAAGTATCTGAATTGTAAAATGTTTGAAGGCAGATTGTCAATAATGCAGGTTAGGATGAGGGATGTTCTGTTTTGTTCTTGTCTGTTGGTGATAGGTGACCCTATGCTGGAAATGGTTTAATTTACAAATAACCTTTTGTGTTTCTCTGCTGATTGCAATAAATATGCAAATTGCCACTTAGAACAAATCACTAGTTTTTTAAAGGTCACTGTGACATACAATTGAGGTAGTTCTTTTACTTGTAAAATTTATTCAGTGCAGTTGTCTTGCTACATTCGTGGGAGTCTTTTTTTTTAATCGGTGCGCGCATGCTTTTTTCATGACAATTTACATATGCTATGGATAATGGTTTTATTTTAAAATGTGGCCTACTATTTAAACTATATTAAATACAATTTTTTTTAATATGTTTTGTATTTTAACATCCAGCACTGTTGGAAATTATTCAATATTAACATCCCTATTATTGTATATTCATTAACACCATTTAAAGCAGAACATTTTCTTTTGTAATTGTGTTCTTAAAGAGGAAAAAAAAAAATACAATGCTCCCTTTAGGATAAAGCTGGATTCGAAAGGCATTTCAATTCCATTATTGTAATGTTTTCAATTACTGCTATAATGATTATTTCTTTTTTTCTCTGCTCCATTTGCCATTGCCCTCATTTACGGGGACACATTGCGTTTTTGCTTATCGCCCCCGCCATTCATGGTGGGGACCGATGTGAGGGATGCAGAATTAGACGAGGTAATGAGAGACCCCTTTCGGTGCCGGGAAGGCATAAGTGGGTGAGGCGAGACCGTAGGGTTACCAAAATCATGACCGACATATTCCATCGTGGCCCCCCTCTTCTCCCTGCGGGGTTGTTCTACAAAGGCTGCCCTTTATCGTTGGGCCACGGCCTGTCAGCACCCGACAAAGGCACGTAATTAGAGCTTCGTTAAGCAAAGGCGGCAAGTGAGAATTGCGCCTGGATGAATGGCAGCCTTGCAATGGCTGTTTTTTTCTGATAAGATCACCGCAGCCCCAGTGATAAGGTCATGGTTGTTCAAACAGTGGCTCAGAATATATAAACAGCTGAGAAATGTTTCAAATAATCATACCATTATATTGAATTGTGCAAGATTAAAAAGAAAGCTTATTTTTGATATTCTACTTAATGCTAATTATTATTCATTAAACACAACTCTAAATAAGAATATACATTTTTTTAAAAAAAATAATGCTATGCAACGTGCATTGGACCGCATTTATTCTCGCACGCTGTAGGCATGTGCATCATGTATACTTGCTTACAATTTACAGTGACCAAAAAAAATGTATTGCCATGCCAGCACAGAGCTGCATTAAGTAGCAGACATTACCAGTGCACAACACGTACTGGTTAAGCGCCGCGCTTGCATTCTTCACATTAAATGTGCCTCGAAGTGACTTTCCCCTCATTTGCCACCTGTGCTAATGAAGGAACAAAAAAAAAGCAGCTAATTACCGCTCCACGGAGCGCACGGGTGCGGGGGAAGCATAGCCGGCTCCAAATGCAAATTTGAGCATGTCCGGCAGGGATTCTTTTGATGATGCAGTTGAGGAAGGTATTGGGATGTTGGGGGGGTGGGGGGGGCCGCAGGAGGCAGAGTGTTAATGGACAGTGCACAGCATGCGGTCAACTGTCACAGCGGTCAGTGGGGGGAGTTCGGAGCACTTGCTGTGTGCTGTCATCAGCTGGCATTTAACTTTTCTTCTGTGCACATTCGAACAACTAAGCAATTCTGTAATGTACTATAAATAGTGGGAACCTTAAGAGGTTTCATGAGTCGAGTTTAGAACATTAGAAACTTTGCACCAACTTTAAATGGGTGCTCATTTAAACTTTTTTAATAGTTCAATCGTATTGTAATACTTTTACTTCACACATGCCTATAACGTTGATCTCATCAGATCGCGGGAAGCTTAGCAGATTGGAGTGCTTGGGTCGGTGACCACCATGCATTCGGGTGTGAAAGGCTGTGGAGCAAAGTCCATTGTTTTGTACTGTATTGCTCTTCATCTGCTCCCAGTATTCACCAATTACCACGGTCAATCCTTATGACCCGCATGGTATGGGAAGACCCTTATCCAGCAGTGGATTGACTCAAGGGCTGTACGTGAACTTCACAACTTACGTGTATTTTTTACAATTAAATATTAATGTCTGGATTTAATGTGCGCTAGAAATGTACGTTTCAGGATTAAAATGTATTATTATGTACAAGACACGTCGAATCACCCGATTATTTATTATTTCTACTGCACGTTTTAAAAACTAAATTTAACAGATTCATAATATATACCGTACATTTTACATGCACCGCAAGTAAAAAAACAGAATCGATTTATGAACTGAATCGTGACCCTGAATAGTGACAATTCATCAATTCATGTAGGGGGGAGGGGGGCATGCATTTTCACATCCCAGATGCACACTGCTGAACGTGAGTGGCAGGGTGAGTAGAAAGACAGGGTTGCTCACGTGCAAGCCTGCTGAGGTCCCCATTTAAACCACCGTTATTCTGTTGTTGTTGATGCTCTACTTTAGTTGTCCGTACCGCTTTGCATATACCCATGCTATTGTTAACTGTATTTGGTAGCAAAATAAAGCAAACTGCAAATAAATTACATAAATCCTTAAATATCAGGATCTCTTTGTTAACAAGTTGTATGCTCATGGCGACAACAAAATATTATTTAGTAATAACTGAGTCGCGACTATCAGTGCACAGTCGTTTTACGCTACCGTTTGTGCACAATTAAATGTAGAAAATAATAAACATACTTTTCTGTGATATGTTTTGTTCTTTTATAAAAAAAAAACAGTGTGGATGTTTATATTAAATACAATAAATAAAATTCTGGAATATTTTTTAGCGTAATATTTTTACCTTTAAACAGTAAAACTAACCACCATCAATATAAACCCATTTGGACAGGCTCATGTTTGGGCGTGGATTAGCATTTGTTTGCACAATAGCTACCATTAATTGCACCAAATGTAACAATACTTGCTACAATTATAAATAGACAAGAAGGTTCTTTATACTTTCTTACAAGCAGGAAGAGTAAACGATCGGCAATTTAGGAGTGTACATAACCATGTGCAATTAGTGACATCGGTGACATTTTCCTTTCCGTTAAACTTGCTAAAGACCATGTGCGTAATGCAGTGTACTCTTGTATGCTATATGAAATATTTTAAATATTTTCTATGTATGGCCCTTCAGATTATTGGCTGGTGATGTCGTAATGATCCGTTTAGTATGAACGAATTGGTGTACCATGAACTTGACCATAAACACCTTTGACCTCTAGACCATCAAACATCCAATACTTATTACATTTTCATGACGCTGTAATTTTGCCTTTTATAAAATGTGTACTTGTAGTCTACTGTAGGTAGGTGTGTTGTACAATCATAATAGATTTTTTACATTCGACTTTTTCGTTATTGTGGTCTTGTGGCACATGCCTCTAATATATTCTTTTGAAGGCAAATATTGGTGGTTCACATTGATCATTGCAACTCCCAAACCATATTGGTTCTGTGGCAGCTAGGAGGCGTGGACCTTTGATAATCTGAGAGCGTTATCACCACAAGTGCATAGGTTTTGTCGAAGTACTCCGATTTTTTCCCATATGAAAAACATTCACAATCGGAGATGTTGAAAAATCCCAATGCAA